TTGATCATGAACATTTATATAAATCTTCATTACCATCATTATCAAAAAATTATTTTTTTCCTCAACCATTAGTATTACTTGTTGATGATCATCGTGAAACACCATTAAATAATTCTTGTCTACAATTTTTTAATAATGAAACATTTAAAGAAGTTTGTTCTAACAAAAAATAAAATATATATATAGATGTTCTTTTTTTTTTCTAACTAAAAATTTTTTGTTTAGTATATAATGCGAACTTATCTACTTGTTTCATCAAAAATTGAATATCCTGTACAACAAGAACCAACAAATCGAATTGTTCTTTATGTTAGTTCATCATTAATTATATTTGATTTTCGTACACTTGTTAATAAATATGTATCAAATGAACTTCGTCAATTAGCATTATGGTCAAGTCTATTATTATTATATACTCAAACATGGCGTGAAGTTAGACAAAATTGGTCATTAATATGTGAAATATTTCTTAATTGGGGAACAAATTTTGTTTCATTAAAAGCTTATGAAGAATTATGTACAAAAGTAGCAAAAATAGAAAATGATCCGGATATAACACATCTTATGGATCTTATTTATAATAATACAAATACAATCAATGATAATGAACAACAACAACAAGAAGATGATAATGATAATGATAATGATGATAAAACAAGTGAAGATGTTGTTGATCTTTCAGATTTTCAAAATGATCATTTTTATACAAAAAATGTAAGGTTTGTTAAAAAACGTTCTCGGATCTGCTCGAACAATTTTTATTCTATTTTCAAGATAAGCACATCTGAATATAAAAAACCTTTGTTTTATTACTGAAATATTGTTTCCAAAACAGAATAAAATTTTTCAGATAATGTGCGAAGAAACATTCCTAAGTATTCAATCGCTTTTTTCTTGAGGTTATTACTATTCGATTGATCATCCTGAATAGTAAACAAGATTGTTTTGCTTTGGTTTTCAGTCTCCGCGTGTTAAGTTAGAAGTACTTTACTCAATATTTGCCTTATGAATATAGGACCTAGATAATTGAATTTCGAGCGAAAATTTTTTCATAGAGAGAGTTGCTTGTGACTATCAAACCTCTATCTATGGTAAAAATTTCAGCTCGAAATTCGATCATTCAGGGTCTCAATAATCCCATGCTCGGATAAAGTACTCTGAACTTAACGCACGAAGGCCAGAAAATTAAATCAAGACAGACTTTTTTACTACTCATCATGATCAATCGAATAATCATAGTGTCAAGCAAAAAGCAATTGGAAAGTTAGGAACATTCCTTCGTTAATTCCAGAAACTGAACTATTGGAACAGATTTTTAATATGATCTGATCTGTTTGAATTTTGAACTAGTAGATTCGTAATAAAAACAGTTATTTGTTAAAAAAAAATTTTAGTATTTATATGATTGTTGAAATAATTATTGAAGTTGAAAGTGATAACTTAAAAAAAAAAGTATCCCAACAGTTAGTGATTACCTTCAGAGCTAAGCATATACCGAAATCAGTAACTCGGATTCGGTTCGATTTTAGTTTTTTTTCTCTCGCCGAAGCATCTACCAGATCGAAACTATCAGAAAAAGAGTTTTTCGAACCGGAACTGAAAATTATAGATAAATTTTCTATGATTTTCAGCGAAATATATTATAAATCAAATAAAAATAAGAGATATTCGTCGACTGAATTAATCAAATCACGAGTATTTAAGACTTTTTAAATTTAATATGAATAAATTCTGAAATAGTTTTCTCTAAGTCGACAACTAAAAGAACTTTCTCATGCAATCTTGTATTCTTAGAAATCATTTTTTTTTCGAAGTTTCTACTACTTATTCTAATACTAATATTTTATGTTTAATTTAATAAGAATAGAATATCGCGAAAAAAAAAGAAAGTATCACAAAATTTTGCTAAATTCTTTTGAAATTTTTCTTCATTGTAAAATTAATTCATTATTTTATTTTCAAAAAGATGATTACCAATGAAACTAATCGTTATGTTTCACCATATGAAAATGATTTACGACGAATATTTAATGAAAAAAATAAATCTAAAACAGCATTAATATCATCATGGGATACATTATCAATATCAGATCGTACTATATTAAAAAAAATTAAAGGTAATTGGAAATGGCTTCATTTATTACTTAAAGATTATATACCATCTATACCACTTTGGTCAAATTTAATACATTCTATATCAAATAATTTTAAACATGTTCGTCTTAATAAACGTATGACAAGATTAATGATGAGTAAAGATAAACGAATTAATCAAATAAAACGTATTCAATTAGCTGAACGTGTTCATAGAAAAACTGATCTTGTTATAAGCAGTTTAGCAAAAGATTTACATTTACAAGTAACTAATGCTGATTTAAAACAATAAAAAAACAATATTACACAGAACAAACAATTGTTTTTTCTTTCTACGTTTGTATATGGTTGTTTTCTTCTTTTTACTTTCAGTTAAAATGATTCTTCTTGTACTTATATATCTATATATATATATCTATGGCTGTTTTCTAGTGAATTTTCTTATTCCTATGACAAACAAACACACAAAAAAATGACTGTCAATCATATCATAAAGATTATACTGATCATAACACAAATAGATAATGATATTTTTAACTGTTACAAGTTAAATTACTCAAACAAAATCTAAAATGAAATAATTTCATTGAGATAATGAAAAAAAAAATCTGAAAACATTTCGTTTCATTTTCTTTTGTTTTTCAATAACTGTGATTGTCAAATAATGATTATCTGACCATGATATAATATTTTAATAAAAAAATTTTTCAAAAAATCTTTTTATAACATACATCATCAACTACAGTAATCATTTATATATTAAAAAAAACATATCTTATGATAAGCATTAATGATAAAGGTACAACGATGGCCTTTCACCGCCCATTTGTATAGAAATGTATTTACACTCATTATCGTTATGATCAGTGAAGTGAACAAAAAAAAAAAGAGCGAGAGACCCACAGTGAATATCCATGAAGTTGATAAATATGTGACGAACTTGTGTTGAAGCTAATGCTAATGTAAAAAAAAAGATGGATAAGCATTTTTTGAATAATTTCTGATTGTTGTATTGGCCGTTCGAATGTACACTTGATAATTGAAAACTTATTCTAGTCCCCTTACAGGGTACATTAGTTTTCACAAAAAAAGTCCATTGAAAACCTTCAAAAGGACAAAGTCAAAAAAAAATCTGTAATATATGATTTGATGAGTCTTCATCTCCTCTTTGTAAAGGTGAAAACCATAGTTCTCTATCTTGTTTCGATTAAAAGTTATTCAATGTCCACAAAGAAAACCTTGGCATTCATTGTCAATATAACATTGCATGTTTTGACTGGTATGCTTGTGATATAATGTATCAGTGGCCTACTGTCATCATTGCATTCCTAGTTACCTAGGTCTGATCAACATTCCTCACAGGATTGCTGCCAATTTTATAAACCAGCTACAGAAATAAATAGTAGAATCTCTTGTTTATAATAAATCTATTTTGAGTTTAGTTCTAATATTCTGTTAGATGAAATCCAATTCCAACAAAAATAAAATTTGAAAAATGGATAAGGGATTCGAACTATGTTGGGAACAGATGCAAAAATAATTCACGAGGAGTATTGGGAACTTAATGTTTCATCATATCGAACACTTGCAAATTGGGCAAAGGGTTTTCATGACAGATGAGAAGATATCAATGATAATTCTCGACCTAATCATTTGGTTTTCGAACCGACAGATGTAAATATTGAACTGTTACGATAAGTTATTAACCATGATACATTAGAACAAATGATCCACGATTGTCTAAAGATGAGTAATGTTACATTATGCTTGGTATCTCATCAACTTAATAATGTACACAAGCAAGAACGAGTTAGAATTTGTCATGAAAATTTGGTAGCATTTCATGATAGATCATAGTGATTTCATAATATTAATACAGGTAATGGGACATGAATTTATCATAGACACATTAGGCATAAGTCAACTAATGCAAGCTGAATTAGTGAAAATTAATCAGCAACAATTATATTGTTCATCGAAGTAAATTTAAGCGAAAAATTTCGTTTTCTATATTTTTAAATCAAATGGTCATGTTCTTATACATAGTGTGAATAAAAGCAAGACTATAGATCACAATTATTATATTGAAAATTGCTGCAAACTTGTTGTCAATAAAATATGGAAACAAAAAGAAAGCTGTCAGGTACATATGTGTGACTTCCTACTGATCCAGATGTTATTAGTTATCTAACACAAGATATTATTAACATAAAGTCACACTCATCATTTTCACTAGACCTTACACTATGTTATTTTTTTGATTAAATGATTATATCAATCGTTATTTAATTGGCCAAACAAATGAAAAATCATTGATTCGTGTGGTTTCCAAGATAATTAAAAATATTCCAGAAGAAGAGTTTAAAAAAAAACCATTTGAAAAATTATTAGAAAATATGAAACTTGGTATAAATAATTATGGTGATTATTTTGAACATTTAATAAAATAAAATAAAATATATTCTCTTTATTTTTTGTTAAGATCGAAATTGTTCAAAAGACTTTTCGAGACATTGAAACAACAAAGTAACTAAAGCTTGAAAGATTGAAAAATGAAACATTCTGTTTTTTGAAAATAGAAATCATTGTCTAACATTTATTTTTTCTCTTCTGTTTATTTGTTTAATATGTTAATGATAGTAAAATTCTTTTGTCATATCATATATCAGAGTAAAAAAGAAAAATATGAAGTCGTTGTTTTTATTTTCTTGACTATTTGAAATCTATTATTAATATATAATATATAAATGTAGATAAAAAGAAAAAAAAGGAAGCAAGGTTAGTCATTGCATGTGTCGATCTAACAAATATTCTTTTCATATATCTATACTGCAAAAAAAATGAAGTAAACTCTCCATGGAATAATGTATATACATTGTGTTGTCGTTTCTTTTTTGCAATTCTTATTATGATTTATCTCGTGTTGGTACAGGAGCATATTTTCCTTTAATATACCGCATTAAAGTAAATGTTCCAAGTATAGCAAAAAGTATAAAAATTAATTCAATAACCAATTTAGTTATATCTTCAGTCACAGCATAAGTATCAGGTATCATTGTATTCTCATTTGAGTATGTTTCTGTAACCGTATTGACTGATTCATCCGCATTTATCAAGACACTTGGAGCTTTTGTTGTTGCTACGAGACGATTAGGTGCTGTTTTAATAATACGTATTATACCAAAGACCAATGTTAAACCAAATACAAAAATAAATACAATACCCGTAACCATTAATATCATGGCATTATCAAACCTAAATAATATATGTTATTAAATCGAAATATTTCAATTTATTACATACCATGTTGCATAAGTAGCCAAGAAAATTGAAATAAGAACCAAACCGCCAATAGCAATCGTTGCAATAGCGTATGGATTTGTTGGTCGTCGAATGGTTTCAACAATACCATGAATAACATAACGAAATAATATACTCGATAATAAAAATCCATAGAAAACGGTTAATAAAATTCGAACACCACGAATTTGTTTTTTTTTTTCAAGAGCCATCGTTTATCTACAAATATGAATAATTATATACTCAATTCATCAATATAACACTTTAAATGAATGCATGCATAGTTGGGTCAATATATGTATACGTCTTATGCTTTTATTTCGTTCTTCGTTTTTTTTTTCGTTGTTCTCTTCTATTCGTACGTACTTAGAGGGCACACCCTACTAATTTCATGTAAGTAGTAAATAAAGCAAACAGAAAAAGATTCAATTTGAGTTACTTGTACAACGCTTTTTTTTCTTCTTTTCTTCTTTCTACGTCGTTTCTAATCTCATGTGCTTGTGTCGTCGTTCTACACACTGTAACCGACGAGCAGAATATTTATTATTGGTTCTTACTTAGTATACGAGATAGGAAAGAAAAACATACCATCAAGTTATGTACTCATTGACTCATAGTATATGCGGAAAAATAAAGAGAAATGCATCTATATATTTCCTTATGTTGCCTGTAACAAAGACCGAACATCATAATAGATATTCCTTTTTTTTTTTCTTTTCAATAAGTACCAGTTGGTACAAATAAAAGAATAGATCTACGTTGTATGAATTTGAATATATAAAAGAACACTTATGCTTGCAAATATTACATCATACTTAAAACAAGTAACCAATATAGAATTACAACAATTTTGTAATCTATTCATTCTATGCGTTTTTACTGAATTTTAACAAACACATTGAAATTGAAGATTAGTATAAAAAGGATATGTAGGTCATAGGAAGTTTGAACTTTATCGTTGTTTAGTCGACGATTAGATGTATCATAATACGGAAGTTTTCAATGTTTTATTTAGTTCAAATAAAAAAACAACATATTTTCATAAAAAAAACTTTTGGTTTATTGTATAATTATATCTTTGTATTCAAATTCATAATAATCATTAGTAGATTTTTAGTTTTGCTTTGTCTTTTAATAAAGTTTCGTTTAAAGATAATCAAAGATTTTATTCTAGTTTGTATATCAATAATTAATGATGTAGAAATAATAATCATCTTGTTTATGACGTTGATAAATTGTACTGTACAATATCAATACAAACGTGATGTTATTGTTTATTTTATAGTTAATATAGGTTCGCCTTTCTTTTACGTTTCATGAATATAGTAGTACTGATATTATTATAATTCTTATAATGATAATATTAATATATCGAACTAATATCATTTTATTTCATATTTTTCACAATAGTTATACGCCATAACGAGATTAGCTTAGTTATGAGGATATCATAGGCGAAGTGTTTTGATTCTAAAATAGGCTCAACATTTTCTATAAGATTCTCACCTGGAAGTAAAAAAATGAAAGAAGACAAGTTTTTGAGTACTACTCAGATGAAATACAGTTAGTGCTTCTTTATATGAAATTCAGATTTTGCAATGTATAACAATGGTGCAGGTCAGAAAAGAATTCATAACTTGCGTGAAAAAACGTATGAAAAAAATTTAATGGTAGAACAAAAATGTTTCATAAAAAAATCGATACTGTATGTGAGTTTCTTCACTGTTGAAAATGTTAAATAGGCATATAATCTTAGTCGTCAAAGGCAAAGAAAAATTTTTCACAGATTCTACTTGATCTAGCTTAGATTTTTTTTTGTACAACTCTTCTTCACTTATAATGAAGAGTCCCCACTTCTAATCATTGCCGATGTGTAACTTAATATTTATTTATATAAAACTCGATGTTTCTTCAAAACATTTTCTAAGTATGCTTGATTAAGAAAACGTTATTATTGGTCGCCGAAAAATATTAGCATTTATACAAAAAATGTAATGCACTGCTCAAATCTATCAATCTGATGAAAGAAGAAAACTGTTTGAACCTAGGAAGTATGAATTTAGAGTGAACTTTTGCCTACTTAAATCTTGTTATTCTATTGGCAATACTTATTGAACATTAATTTATATCGAATGAAACGATTTTAATATTAAATCTAATATGAACCTGTTTTTTTTTTCTCCGAAAATAAACGAGTAGAATCATTTGGAAAAAAAAGCCTCGAGTTATTTTATAACACAATGATAGTAATGATCGTATTAATAGTTTTTTAAGAAACCATTTGAATATCCAAATAAGATTATTGTATCATAAAGAAAATAAAAACAATCTATTTGACGTACATATTGTTTGCGTTATAAACATTTGCGTTTATGGGTGTTCTTCTTATTGCCCTTTTCATTCTACTTTGAAATATTAGTTGAAAGGTTTCTATTTTCAACTGATGTGTCAAGCATACAGGATTGTCGTATGTTCTAATTAGAGTTGAGATCGATCGTTAAGCTTCAATAAGATTCGTAAACTGAACATAGTATATGCAAGTGGAATAGTGGTTTTTTTTTATGGATATTTGTAGAAAGAGTAATATTAGTTCTTGAACTCAAGTAACTAATGAAATAAAAATTCTGTATTAATTTTGTTTTTGATATAACGTTCCAATGTAATATCATAGTGGTTTAATCTTTGTTTTTTTGTTTATTGAAATATATGAAAGAATATAATCAGAAATGTTTCTTAAAGATCAGAAAAATTTTAGAATAAAAACTATTGGAAAACTCTTTCACAATTCTTTTGAACTAATAGAAAAAATTTCATCTAATAGGAAAAATTATCTTTTTGATTCGTCTATTCTGAGTTCTATAACATATGAATAAGATATTATTCTTGTACTAAAAAATAAAATGTTCCATATGTTTTATAATATCTTCTAACATCATTGATTTTTCATAACTACCGATCGTTGTCGAAAACTTAAATTTTGCTTCGAAAGAGAAATTGCCAGAAACTATATATTTTTTATGAAAAAGTAATCTTATCATAGTTCTCTAATAAACGACATTAATTGATATAGAACTTCGCTTTTTTATGAGACTTTCAAAAACAAAAAACTTGGGTTTCATTTTGTAAACGTTATATTGCATTATTAATTAAACTATCTGTTGTACCGTCTCTTGTATGTTAGATCAATTATTTTAATATCACATAAAAGTCTTGATTGTAATAAACAGCTGAATATGTATGATGATAGAAAATATCGAAAGTACATAACGAAATAAGTCAAACAAGTATATTCTGATACAAAAAAACTGATGAGGAAAGTTGTGGAAGAGTTTCCAAACACCTTTTGTTCGAACATTTTTGTAGCTTTTAGGAAATATTTCTGATCAAATACTTTTACACTCGATATTTTTCTTTTTCTTAGAAAAAGACAATGAAATCTCTATGATATTGTATTGTATCGTTATATCGAAAATAAAATTAATATAAAACTTTTGTCCTATCCGTTATTAATCTCTCAATAATTTTGTATATAATTACTTTGTCGTTTGTACGTTAAAATAAGACAAAATCTATGAAACAAATGCAATGTAATCTCTCGAAAAATTCGATAATACTGACATTTGTAAGACGATAAGTAATGCATTTAACTGTACTGTATATAAGGTGAGAAAAAGAATAACCTTTTACGGCTATCTGTATTTATATGGCCAAGATAAATAAAAATCATTGAAAATCCATGAAAATACTTCAATACGAATTTTCCTTATAGACGTCGAAGAACTGTCGAAATACGAGAGATTCGTTAAAAATACTTGAAATTATAAATAGAAAGAACTTTGTTTGCATATGATGTCATCTACACAAAATGAACTGCATAAGACACAATTTAGAATCAGTTCGGAAGAATTTCGATAGCACTTAAGATAAGAATTAAAATAATCTATATATATATATATATATCTGCTTTGACCTTAATTGTGAAATATTATACAGTTTATAATCTCGCGTGACACTTACACGTTGTTACTTCTTTGTCTCATCAACCAGAAATTTTTTGACGACATTATTTTTAATGATAAAAATCTTGTATATCATTTAGTGAGTCAATCAAATTTTTAAATTTTGTTTTATAGTTTCAATTAACGAGACATAATACAATTTTCTTATCGTGTTTTACGGATTTATCTCCAACTCACTGACTTTCATTCTACAGTATTCTGATTGTTTTTAGATGGTTTGTTTACTCTTGGGATTATTTTTAATCTTGCATGATAGAAAAACGAACAATGACTGTACAACTGAGATTCTTAATTCTGTCAACTTCTGAAATTTATAGATGAAAAAAAACAAGGAATTGATCTTTTAGATCTTATCTGTTTAGGCTCTTAATGGTTAAATGAAGTGGCAATTCACTCATATATTTTTAAAAAAAGAAGCAATTTAATAATAATGATTATTAAAATAATAATAAAAGTACTTCAAATCTAGAAATTTCTATCTCCTTCTTTCAATAAACTTTAATTTTTATGAACTATTGCCTACTTTTTCTTATTTATATTAATAACATTTAAACGTTGTATCTCTCTCGCTTATACGCAAACATTACGTGTTGAAATGCATTTTGGATGTCTCAATGTATAAAATAGACATTTGTCAATATTCGTTCTATTTGTTGAATTGTTATAAATCAAACATATATAGACACATACATATTTATATATATATATATATATATATATATGTATATGTAAATTTATCACTGAATGTAAATAAAAACTAAACTAAGAAAAAATACGAATAATTGAACAAAATAAAACAAGAAAATGGTATTCTGTGCATTTACGCTAAGTGTAAAAATTTGTAGAATTCACCAATCGATCGATCTATAAGGAAAAAAAAAGAAGTTATATGCTTTTCATTATTTGATAATGTATACCTTAGAAATGCCTCGATGAATAAATAAATCAAGAACATATAATTCTTCTTTTGTTTCTTGTAAATCACGTTTATACGTTTGCCATTCATCTCTATTTGGCATAAATCGTTTTCGATTTTTAATAGAAGACGAATCAGCATTAAGCGACGTTTCGATAACCTAGCAATATTTCATTATATATAATATTTACAAAACATAAAAAAAATAAAAAATGCAATATATATTTAAATACTTCTTTAATAAGTGGTCGATCGATACTTTGTTGAGCATCAATTACTGATAATTGACATCGCTGTAAATTTTCTATTGTTTGTTCAAGTTCAATTATAACCCATTCAAATCGATCAAGAATTTGTTTTCGTACATTAAGTAAATTTTGATCATGATAGGATTCATCTGATTGTGTATATTGATTAAATAAATGTAAACGATGCTGACTTACAACAGTAAGATATGTTTTTAATATTTTTGATAATTTCTAAGAAATACAAAATAAATTTATACGAATGAAAAAAAAAAATGTCAATTATTATTTTACGAAACGAGTCTGTTGATTCGGTAGATCAGTTTGACTATATTTACTATCAAATTGAACAGTTGTCTAAAATAAAGAAAAACTAAAAGAAAAAAAACTAACAAATTTTTTTTAAACTTACCATTTAATGAAAAATTTTTATTTGTATCAATTATTATCATATAAAATTTTCGATTATGTTTTAATTAAAGGCGGAAAAAAAATGTCGTTCAAACATACATGTTTCTTTTGATATATAGATATTCTTATGCTCACCTTTTCTTTTTTTTTTTTTCTTGTTCAACACACAGAATTGCTTTTTTACATACGAGAGCTTATATACACATATGAATTGTCAAATGACGGAGTGGCTTTAACAAAAAAAAACAGAACATAGAATAACAAGTAGATCATGCTTACTGTTCTGTTAATGATATGTTTGCGTGTTGATGCTTATCAAAATATGATTTACCTGAAAGCTAGACAAGGTCGATACGAGCATCAATTCCAGTTCTTTTTTTCATTCGATATATAAAAAACATTACGAAGCTTTTTATCAAGACTTAGATTTTATGTTTGGTACTATCTGTATGCTTGTTTTTTTCGTTAGATATATTTACAATAAGTGAATTCTTATCAACTTTAAATACATGTTGTTGTACTTAATATACTTGAAAGTAAATAATGTTACAATTCGACTATATACGCCTTGATTCTTTCTTTTTTCGGCATTTGTAGTTAAGAGTACATTTGAAATTTTTGTGTATTTAAGTTTTTATTTATAACTTAAATTGATGTGACTACTGTTAAAAAATATAGTCATTTTTTAATAATGTATTCTATTTTTTTAATCGGTTTTTAAACACCAATAAAAAGCAAGGGCAAACAGAACGAATGGGAATACACATAAGAAAAAGTGACTGTATAATATTAGAAAAAAAACACTAGTCGATAAAACACAATCTTGTTTAATTGTCATTTGACTCAGGTTGTGTCGAAGATTATTCTAAAAACAAAGTATGGAAATAATTAATGATATGGTTAACTTGGTTTTTGTACTTTTTTTTATTTGAATCATGCAATAACAAGCTTGATGATTTGTAAATGTTAGTATGAAGTTATAAATACGATTATAATAAAGAATAATCTTACTTGAATTAGTTTTACCAAAGGATTGTAATTTTGATAATAGATCTAATTCTTATTTATTATTCGATGATTCCACATGTTCAGTATTGAATTCATTTGTAGACGTTTCTTGCCATGATACAGTACGTAATGTAAATAATTGTTGACGACGCTTTTGTTTTATTGTTGTTTTCGTAGAATTATAGGGTAAATTTTGATGATTATCAGTTGCTTGAGATACTTGATCATTGTTTTGAATTTTCACAGATAAAGAATTATCTACAATTGTTTTGATACGTTGTAATAGATTATCAAATTCATTAGTCTTAACTATTGATAACAATTGATTGGATGTATCAGAATCATTTGATGTTGCTTTTATAGTTGTAGATGTAAGAGAAACTTTGTTATCATCGAATTCTTTGTGATTATCATTAGTATTAGATGGCATTGATTGTTGAGATACTAAGTAATTTATTAAAATAGATGAAATATTATCAACAAGTATATCTTCTTGATTAGTAGTAATCTCTTGAGAAGATGGAGAATCTTTCGATTTGTTTAATTTGAGTACAGTAGGATTTGGTGAGAGTGTCGGTTCAAACGTTAAATCAGGAAGACTAATGGTCTATTCAACAGAAAGAAAGAAAAACAAAGATTTGATTTAATTATTAGAGTTATTTTTCCTAATACAAGAGTTATAACGTTTTACATACGTATTATTTTCCCTGTGATGCGTATATATATAAAACTTACCGTACTTGGTTTTAAAAGAGCCACTGAACGTCTGCGTGAATTTCGCCTACTCTGAACTCCTGAAGGAGATTCCTGTGATAGAAACGAATTAGACTGATAATTCGTTGATCGGCTAACAGGAAACATAGGACCATCTTGCGTGTTAATATGTTGTGGACAACATAAATTTGTGGAATTGATGAAAGACTTTGAAGAATTTTCATCAGTTGTATAACTAATTGAACTGTCTGATTTAGGTTCTGTTATGTTTCCTATTGTTGAGTTATTATCTGGTTGTTGTTGAGCTGTAGGTGGAGAGAGTAACTGAAGTATACTGTTAATTTTTATAAACTTAGATGCAAGTAAGGGATTTTCATTTTCTGAAGCACTCATTAAACGAGTATTATTCATTTGTTCAATAAAGTTTTCATCATAAAATACTGAATTTGTACCATGTATATGTCCTGCTAATGCAAGGTCATATATGCCTTGTTTATATAATGCATATTGATTATATGGTGTAAGAACAGATGCAAGGTGAACTTGATCGATAATTGACTTAATAAAAATTAGTTTTCGTACTGTACGCCGAAAGCGACGAAGTACAGCTTCACGTCGACGTTTATGACTTTGATTAGTATTATCAGTTTTTGATTTTGAATGTGATGAAGCAAGTAATGCTGTCGAAATATTTTTAAAATGAAGTGCTCCAAATATAGCTGGACCAAGTGTAAGATGATAAGGACCAAGAAAAAGATGAAGAGTATCATCACGATTATCAACAACGGGTGAAACTTTATAAATAAGCGAAAGACGCTCCACCATACGTGATAAATTATTAATTTTGAATAATTCTAGAGTGAAATAGACAAAAAAAAGAAATAATCTTTAGATTTTTTTTTTGTTTTTAATTTAATCGAATTCATATACCTAATTCAATAATTAGTTTCATTTCAGGAAATAAATTAGTTAATTTTTCCAATTTACATACGTTTAAATGTGATTCATTTATGAAAAATCTGTATGGTACCAGTCGATAAACACCTTTATCCATTGAAGACATTGTTAATGTGAAATATGAAATGTTAGAATTTTTCTAGACAAATACATATTAAATACGGATGTTATATCATATAGTAAAATAATAAGAATAACAATATGTAATTACCTATAGAAATAACAGTTGAAAAACTCTTAATATGAGAAAATTCAGACAACGTTGTCAAAAACAATAATTACAAGTACAAGATGATTAAAGAAAAAAAAAGTGTAAATACAACGCAAATAATGCTTAGACGTGCACGTTAAAATATCAAATATAACTGATACATTTTCGCGTTTATATGTACGTTTTTTTATGAATCATTCGTTGTTTCATTCTGTATGTATTATTTTTCGTATAAGTCGCAATTTCTTTTTTTTTTGTCAAATCAATAATGCATGTCGACAGAAATATACAAATATAAAACTCTTATTATTTGAATAGAAATTTTAATTCTTCTCTGTATAGATCGATTTAGGATTGAGAAATTACAGACAAGATATGCTAATATTGTTTCAGCTATAGTTGATTCGTTTAGAGTCTCAATCAATTAAAGTTAATTATATGCATCTGGTCTACCTATATTCTTTTTCGTTCGTTAACATAGGAGCATATGAAGGTGAATAGGTATCTATCTTTAATAATTATCTTCTTTTTTTCTTTCTTGACCGTTATCTGTATTAGTACTGTGCAGTAGCTAACTTTTTTTGAAGCACATAAACAAATTATAAGAAAATAAAGATAACTGAGTCACATAAATACGGAAAAAAATGAGGTTTTTGCGCGTGATAGCATACACATCTTAATGCTTTAAGGTTATTGTTGAGTTTAAAAATATACCTACCTACAAGTTTGTTTTTTTTTTCTGAAAAATAAAGAAATTTTATATTGAGTTAACATGTGTGTTTTTTTTTGAATAGAAACCTCTTTTTTTTTTCTTCTTTATTTGTTTAATGGTGGCGAAGATTGAATTACTATAGATATGCATAAGATTGCAACATTGAAAAAAAAGCAGTGACAAAATAAAATAATTAGAAATGACGTATAGGTCAAAGATCGAATTTTTCTTGTTACTCTATTGCACATGAAAAATTATTCATTATCATAATCCAGAAAAATTAATTGCGAACGACTGCATATAATTATTCAATTATATCGATGTCTCACTTCGTTACTATTTACATATCGATAGTTGTAAAAATGATAATACCTATCGTAATAAACATGAATATTCAACGAACAGAATTGAATTTTTTCAATTCTAGTGAATCGTATTCGTCGAGATCTTTCCTTCCTTTTTAGATACAAAGAAAAAAAAATCTTAAAAGTTTTCGTTAGATACTTTCGTTCTGATCGTCACTTCATAATATTTCCTCCCTATGTAGACCAAAATGATGAAAGTGAATTCATTGAATGTTTACATTAAATCTAATGAATTTCAATACAATAAGTTTCTGTATGATTAAATCACAATTATTCAAGTGCATTTACTAACCTATCGGTTATATTTTATGATGAATAAGGCAAATGACTACCAAGAGTACAATGAATAGTCGAACTGTTTTTCAATCATGTATTTATGACGACAAACTCTTCCTAATTTTCTTCCTTTCTCTTATTCACGACGCACTAAGCACATTTCAAGGTGCACACTTGATTTTCATATCGAAGCATTCTTTCCAGACAAAAAAAAAACATTAAATGAAATTGTAAAGAAGATCGACGATGTCAGCTGCGACAAAAAATTTAGATTTTGAGTTGATTAATTCATTTGAAAGTCTATCAAAAGTTTTTATGAAAATCCAAATATTGACTCATTCTAGTTTATTTGTAAAAAATGGCAATGTTCGCAATACTTCAAAATTTCGGATCATAAAAAAAATTGACATTTTCAATTCTGGTCGTATTTTACACCTTTCTTCTCCATCGTTTGATGGTTTGAAACGCGAAATATTTTATATGATAGAGATTTTTTTTCTCTACAAAATAGGTTATTATTATTATTGTTTTTTTGAATGCCATTTTTTATGAAAAAGAGATTAAATTAGAGAAAAATAAGGATACAGTTTCGGTGATAAATTTTAGTATTATGAAAGAAAGTATTAGCAAAGTTAAAGCTACCAGGATGAATCTTAAATATGCTGTAACTCTAACTACGGCGTATCTTTTCGTATATTCTTTTTTTGAGAAATGTTACTACAAGATTAAAAAAAACTTTTCTTCACAACCGATTAAAGATGTTATTGTTTCATTCCTTTGATAGTAAAGCATTTACTGAATTATTTCATGAATAGTCGAAGAATGAAATCATTTAGATAATTTGATGTTTTACAATCTGAAAAATAATATGAAGGACAATGATTCGTGTTATATTTGATGAATCATTGAGTTAGCCACCATTGAGTACTGCTTGCTCAACAATTGAAGAAATTTGTTGGACTAAGTTTCACACCCTGCTAGTTGATGTCGATATGTATATATATTTTTAGATTTTAACATCTCTAATGTTAAATTTTAAAACAGAATCCTAAGTTTTTCGATGGATGTTGTATCACCTTGACATATGAAAAATTGTTATTCCAACTTTCACATGGTGACAAAAGAATAGTACCAATCCGATAATCATTTTGCCGATGAGAAAAGTATTCGTATAACAAAAAATGCGAGCTTGATAAAAAAAACTACGTCATAAATATCAGACTTCGATACAGTAAAATGAGGCTGAGTTTTAAAATCAATCGTTTAATGTTTCTCAAACTTTATGTTAGTCGCTAATAACAACAATAGATTGATCTCGGACAACAAAATGATCTAGTTCACACGTCGTTCTTTTTTTTCGCACTTTGATATAACTTCTCTTGTGTTCAAATATTAAAAAATTAATTCTTTTGAATTCTTTTGAAAATTTTTTCTGTTCCATATCATTTATGTTTAGAAATAAAATATCTTTCAATTAATTCATTAGATGAATCAAATATCTTATTTAGCTAAAAATAAATGTAAAAATTTTCTCAAATAAAAAACCGCTACTTTATTTGATAAGTTTATTATTGCGAAGCCTAAATATTAAATTGAAAAATAAGTTCAATTTATGTTTACCAAAACCAAATTCATTTGATTTACTTTGTTCAATAAAATCTGATACAGATGTAGTACAGGTAAAAATAAGATCGACACCTCATACTCACACTCCTGTATTCCTAGTTTCAAGTTCTGACCATTTTTAGAAGTTTCCTTACGGAAACTAGCCCATAAACTTTCGCCTGGGTAAATTAAAAGAGTCATTTGTATGAAAATCTTTCAGATCCTCACAATGAAATGTAAATTTTAGGTGAAATTACGAATGTTTCGTATATCTCTTAGAAAATTTTCTCTTATTAACATAATCTAAGAAAAAGGAGGTGATCAAAAAATCATCAGATTTTCTCTCACTCTGGAAACATTACTAACTGAAAGAACCTTAGTAGTATAGAACTATCATGATATTGATTTGTTGAAATCTCGTTCCTTTTGTGGACAAAAATAAATACGAGATATTATGTTTTACTTGATAGTTAAAGATAAATAAGCAGACAAATCTG